CTAGCTTGGCTACGAAACGTCTGCGAACAACACTCCCAGCTCGGAGAACACATACACCACCAACATCCACATCCCGAGTTACAATCATTTCACATTATTACCAAACGAGTGAGTTACAGGATGGTGGCAAACTAGTGATGAGAACAATTGTGAGCAGAGATCGATCAAAACACGATATATTTATATTTGTATTTTCACACGCTTCTGACGCCAGACTTTGTGCCAACAGTAACCTTTGCATGTGGGCCAAATATTGCCAGGTTGCCCAGGATAGGGCAGGTGAATTTTCTTGTGGAATCCACAACCGGAGCATTTGGCTAGCCAAAGCTTGACCCGCAAGGCAGCCGGGGTGCGGTGTGTGAAAACCGCATTCCATTGGGGGTCGGTGTCCAGTTCATCGGATCATAGCACGAGCAGCCACCATTACTTCTAGTCAGATAAGCATTTGATGAAGTTTTAGTGACTGATTTGACTAAAAGCAGGACATACATTGAGAATTTGGAGATTCGCGTGATGAATAAATTATTATACTGTATTGGTTTTGATTTGGATTGACTTTATCTTGCTTAGCCTACAATCTTCAGTTTACTTGATCTACTACACTCGAGAAGCAGTGGATTCACGTTTCGCTTTTGTAAGAGCTCATCGGTAATGTGTATCCATTTCAGTCCATCCAGTGGTTGGACTCCAGACCTCTCGCATGGAAGGAATGCGTATTATCAACAAGATAATCATCTCACATCTGCATTGGCCAGAATCGCCAAGTTAACCCAAGTCAGATTCCACCTTCAACCAACGCCAGTCTAGTCAGTTTGACAAGAGCGAAGGGAGGCGGCATATCATTTTAGTTAACTCCAATCGAAAGCTTCCTACTCAGTCAGGTGTTTCAGATAGATTTGAGTAAACGTGTCCAATTAAAACTGTTAGGTTCAAAACTTAATAGGTATTTAGTGAACGGCTACTTGTGGGCAGTTGCGTGTGGGTTAAGTGTAACTTCTAATTTAGTGTATACCAAGATGATAAAGCTGATCTTCTTGTCGGATTCGGAAATAGACCCATTGAGCTAAAAATGTACGAAGATCGGTGGCCTTTCTGGTTCAACATTTTTANGCACTACATCTGTGGAGATCGATTAAATTAACACAACGTTAAAGGCAGAAGAACAGTCAAACGAATGGTGGTGGTCAGTCGAGTGCGAATCTACGCTGTTTGCGGAACAAAATGATGACCAGATGTATGACCCCAGATGGGCTTTACAAGTATGCAATTTACGCTGAGAATGACAGTGAACAAAGGAATAAAATGCGCAAAGGCAGTCAGCACCAATGTGCACATCACGAGTGAACTCAATCGAATGACTTATGAATATGAACATCTCATTATAAACATTATTTAATAATATTATTAATAATAATAACCATTTAACCTCGATTTAATTTATGCATGATGCAAACGTCTCATCTGCTTATGGGATGAGAGCCAGGACCAATCACTGGGTGATGGGGAGAAATCCGTCAGCGTGAAATTAAGAGATTGACAAGGTCCCCTGTAAATCTATAGAAGATAACTGGGTAGAACATCGGTAGAACACTGCTCTCCAATCTGTGAAATTACTTATCCGGTGCATACTGATGATCTCTAATAAGAGCGAAATACGAGTTTAGTGCTTGGTTGAATCGATGAACTGAAGATTGTAGGTGAAGGTGAAGTCCGAAGGATAGTCAGTTCAAATCAACGTAAGTTTTATCCAGTTTTTGTTTCATTGTCGAATCATCCGCCAGATGGGCGAAGTCGAAATGATCCGTTGAGGGCCAGCCGTTGGCCGACAAACTCGAGGGGAAACAAGTTACCATTGACAATTTCAGCAGCGCCACCGATATATAGATAATATTCCACGTATATGATCGTAGAGGTGACACCAAGAGACAGTCAAGTAGACACCATTATCCCTGGAAGTAAGGCGCAATGAGACAGACACTCAGATTACGAATGACCTAAGTCGAGTCATTGGTTTATAGGCAGGTAGCTGAACAAGATGGTCAAGACGCGATAGAGGATCCGATCGTGATGTCGAGAGAGAGAGATACTGCCCACGCATTTCTGGATATCTTTAAAACGTTGCGCATGACAATCGACTTATTACACACCGTAGGGGGTAGTGCTTTCTTTCAATGCTCATAAGACTGAGTATCGGTTGAATTATGATGCAAGAACGTATGACTATTGAGCATCTATCACCAGGAAAATTAGTGCTATAACAGAGGTTGTGACAGGAACCTTCAACACCAATCTATTTATTACAGAGTGAAGGAACATTGACCGTATTGTTTTCTTTTTTCTTTTCTCGTACTTCCATCATTGAACATATGACGCTACGATTTCCACGAAAGAGACAGCAGACGATCAAAGGGCTGCTGGAAAACAAAAACTGGGGAAGTTATGCGGCGGTGGTGGCGGGTTTCGTAAACACGTTTTTCGGGCTATCCGTTCGGTGATGTCCAAAGTTCTTTGAACAGGTGTTTACGCTAACAGTCTTCTACCAGTAAGAGGATGGTTACTTCAAGAGGACGTTACCCGGATGGCTCGAAAAATGAGGCCATGACGGCATGAAGGTGACTTGAAACTAACACTACACAAGCGAAAACCTCAGGAAAACAGCTTCTAAACTGAATGAAACGCGTTCCCACGTGCAAACAGTTTGACTGGAAGAAAACTCTTCCACATTTTTGAGACTAGTTTTAAATTGTAGTGGTTCGCTAGGACGCAGCTCTGTTGCGCGACGGAAATCATTCTGTGCAATTCTGAGATGAAAGAACGATTAACTGGCTCCTTCCCGATAGTGCAACGGAGAAGAAACTCAAACCAATAGCAACCGAAAACCACAGAGGTTCACACTGAGTTAAACCATATAAAACTGGCTCTATTTGGAATCGACCCACGGACTAAAGCACAAGCGTGCGTGGCAAAAGAACACGCTTTCAAACGCGGATTTTGAAATCCATTATCAAATTGCCTAAGAAAGATGAAGAATTGTCGCTTTTTCAGACAACTTCACTCCAACCTTAGATAAGGTAGGCGCTTATAAATGATCTACGTATTTCAACTACGTTTGTGCTTCACTTTAGTAACCCTCGGAAGGCGAACCAACCTATACGGTCCGGACGACATTCATCCCGGGGAGGAAGAGCGCTATTTTAGACCTTAACGAACACAAACGGATACGTGAATGTTAACACACACGTTATTTGGGTGATCTGTTTTTTTGTTTGTTTGATTCACCCACTCATCAGGGCATGCATGGGAAATATGTTGTATATCGCAAAAGTAATACACCATTGACATACCTGTGCCGGTTCGTAGATTGCAGCAACCACTGCTTTGATAGCCAACGGGGGTGAACCGGCCGTGTCGAAATGTGCGTAACGACCTAATAGTAGGCCGATTCGTTGTCGGCCGGTCTGGCGCCAAAAGTCCAAAAACGTTTCCATTATTTGCCCGTTCTCGAATTGCACATAGTCTACGTGACGATACGGTTGAATTTCCAAGGTGACCGGACTCGGTTGACATTTGGTGCAAATACCCTCAGGCCATGGTGGATGATCACGACAACCGGATCGAACACGACAACTCAAATTCTCCAATGAAGCGAATTTGCCCCTACGAGAATATGCGTGACCGAAATAAAAGATCCAGTTGAAATAACATAAAAATTGGTTAGATTGTTCCGTAAACTACATCTTACTGACGGGTCTTGAAGATCCCAGCAGTAGTGATCTAAAGATCCTGTACAGTATATTAGCAATGAATGAAATTACACACGTGTAAACAGTCCAAAACCCTAAGGACCCGCTAACATTTTGGCCCTTTCCTGGATCCTGATACGCTTTTTGTCTCTCACATAGCCTTGGAACCAACCATGGAGCGTACGTACCTTACCACGTTCTATCTGAACTTACTCGTGGAATTGCTATACGTCTCCCATTCTCGTGTGTGTCTGCCCANTCTGCCCACTTACCAGTCGTATTTCGAGAACTTCCCCATCTATTCCAGGGGCTAAATGTACACACCCCAGGGGTGATTTGTGTGAACAAACGACAATAACCAATATGGATGAATTTGATTGGATGTTCCACCTTCTTCACTTGTGTTGACCATGCACAATACATGATGTGTTGCGGTGTAATTGCTTAGGCGACTTCCCGTCGAGATTTGTTTTTAATGTTTGGTCGACCGTAACCCGAAAAATCCAACGAACCCATCAAGTGAAGAATGTAATGTCTGCTGAATTGTTCTCTCTCTCCCTTTCTAATACAGTTACAAAACCGAGCTTGATGCTCATTTTATTTGGACTTGGGGAATGTCTGCTATGAGTAACTCAATCCCTGGATGTCAATCTGACATGGAGCTGATTTTTTTGTTTTTCATTTCTAAAGCGAATTCCATGTTTATCCTACTGTGGCCGTTGGCACCGGCTCAATTACCCGCCCACCCCACCACCCAAACATACCATCCCGAATGACTTTCCGACTAAGAATGAAAGTGTGCCCGACATCAGCAAACTCTTATACGATTTGCACAGACAGGGTTACGAATCATTGAAAACAACTGTTGGCTTTCGAAGTTGTGTTCCAATGTCACAAGCAGTTCGTTCCGGACGACTTTGATATACTGAATGTATATGGACGATATTGAATGCGCCAGTCAAATAAACGTTGCATGTGAAGGGTTAAAGTGGATTAGAACTGAGAAAAACACGACAACACAACAAATCGAAATTACAGAGTAAGTGACCTAAATGCGACAAGTATGATGGATTTTTTTAAATTTACACTTAGCTTCGATCGAAAACCAAGCTTGGAAGATAATTTGCTGTTACAAAAGAGGGGATGCGAGTGGCTGAGTTGGGACTCAACTACCCTAGATTGACAAAACTTTTGTAAGCTCAAATTGTTACAGCTTAATGAAGTCATCCACATAACTTTCAAAAAGAACTTGAAGATTTATTTTGCGCAAAAGCACACCAAAAGCTTCTAACCGGATTTTCCGTGACACCCAAGAGCTGGGGACTCCTACAGAATAACTAAATCCGCCGTCACTTGCTGCAGACTAATACAGAAAAGTAACTTTATAAATTACTACGAAGTAAAGTTGACAACCCTTCCCCTCCTGATAAAGTTCTCACTTCCAATGTTGTTTTCACGAAACGGAAACGAGAAAAGCTACGGAAATCATTAATTGTACAAAAAGGGTATTATGCTAACAGATTTTCATTAGACGTGATCCCTCAGACTGAATAAGTGTATCGGGTGGTTTGAGAGAGTATGCTCGATGGGCTGGGTCAAAACGTTCCTCATCGTGGAAGTCTTGGAAGCCCCATACAGTTGTGACATCCATGTGAGGAATCATTAACGGTGCACAACTACTCGATCCACTGAGTTTCGTAACTCAAGTACACAAGGTTCCGATTGCGGCGAACCAGCCAACCAGCAATCATAGATTATGGAATCAATTAGATTCGATACGTCTACCGGTAATGACCACTAGGCGCTATTTCGTGGTATATTGACGTGGAGAAAATGACTGTCATAGAACAAGTAGTCGGGTTATGAAAGCTTCCAACCTGGGAGGGTAGTGCTGAGATGAGCGAGGGTCGATATTCGCAACAAGTTCACAAAGATAGGTTGTGCTACATCGTGCATATTCAAGCGTTCTGATCAGCGGCCTAGTGGTCGAGTGGGTAGTATGTTTGCGTTCTACCCGTGAGATCCTTTGTTCGATATGCAGTTGAGCATCGATGGATTCACACTGCTGATGAGAAACGATCAGGTCGAAACAGCTGTCCAGTGCTTCCCAACTTATCAGCTCAAGCTTCATTTACACGACGAATTCGTCATATATGAAAATTAATGAATCAAATCGAATAACCCAAGAGAGTAACCGGTCGAGAGTAACAATTTATCCTGCCCGAGTACGAATCCCAGTGGATGAGTAGATATGCACTGTTAAGAATTCCTAACAAAGATGAAATAAGTGAACATTGCTTCAAGGCTTTTCAGCGGTAAGTGACACAAATCTGCATGTAGAGTAAACAAAGCGAGTTTCCAAGCATTTCACCCGCATTTTAGACTACCTTGTGGTGAGATAGTACGGGAATTTTGTTAATCATCCAAATTTGCCAACAGCTGAATGTGGAATGATAAGTGTCTGTCCGAGACGTGACAGCTGTACAATGGTTGCAACCAACACCAAGGTGTGTTTGCATTACTAACATTTATGATTTTTGAATCGACGAAGCGATTCGCCAGTTGCGTTTACCATTGAAATTACGAAGATTATGTTCTTTCTCATACGGTCTGAATTTGGTAGGAGGAAATCCTATTGGTTCCAAGAAAGATTCTGTTTCCCCCAATTTTTCCACTTTTATAAAATTTGAATTTTCATATTCTCGCATCCAAAAAAGGGCTCGGCGACATTAACAAATCGCAAACAAGGCATGCCGT